AGAAATGTAATGTTTCCAAATTTAAATACTCACACTGACATTTTATTTATTTCTTATAATTTAATCTGTGGCAAATAATAGTAAAATTTGTAATTATAACTGCAATAAATGTTGGCAATAAAGTTTACAAATGTTTATTTTCATAATTTACTTTTGGCTTAGTAGAGACAGTATTATTATTTATTGTTAATTAAGCTAACATTTAAACTTTACTTTTGAGACATTTGTATTTAATTTTCAAACAACTATACAAACTTTTTATTTATGGTGAGTATTTTTTGTTTAAGCTATATGAAAACGAAAATCAGTATACTAGACTTATACACAGTAAGATGATATAGAATAACAGAATTTACATAATTATATGACAAATTCACGTTTATACTATTTTATGAAGAAATAAGATTTTTTTAAGTAACATTCATATTCCACCGTTTTCATGTATTGTTATTTATTTTCATATTACTTAAGTGTCCGAAAATATGCGAGAATATGTCGTTTTGCACCTACAGACTGTTTCAGAACTCGCGCCCCAGAGAAAAATTTCAAGTAAGGTGAGATACCAGGAAGATTTTCCATCTTTTGACATATATTTTTTGACATTTGACATTTTTCATGTCTATTTGTTGTTACTGATATCCTTATACATACGTATGTTTTTTCAAAATAAATTAGTACAGGTAGCAAAAAAAACTGAAAAATTATTTTTAAAACAGAAATAAATAGTCAAAGTACAAAATTTAAACTCCTATAAATTCGAAACTTTTATAGATTTTTTATGTTTCTGGTATCTCACTTTAATTAATAAAAAATAGTATTGAGTATTAATTTCGATGTGTGAAGTTCAATTTCACACAAAATTACAGAAAAATTAGTATTTTGTTATCATTGCCTGCTGACTGACATATTAATCGTAGATTGTGTCTTTGGTGACAGCATAATTATACAAGGCAAACGAAGCAACAAATTTCATTCTCTTTTAATAGTTAATTTAATTAAGCTACAAATATTTACAGTACATACTGTATTAATTAAGTTTTGGTACTTTTTTTAGAAAACATTCCACGAAAAGGCATTTTCTTTTCAATATCTATATCCCACGAAATCTATTCTACTTATTATTATTTACTACCAATTAATTCTTTTGATCCTTAAAATCAGGAATAAAAAAAATTGATCACCGATTCTAATCACTTTATACGATTTAATCCGTTTTGTATTTCGAGCATTAATTTTTTAGTCTTCGGTTAATTTTTGGTTAATACAATGGATAAAATCTTCATAGGTTATCTGAGCCGTCGATTAATTTTTTTTTCTCTATCCACAAAGACAAATATCCACATCCTATTGTTTTTTTTTTGAAAAATCACAATTTTGTGAAACTTTTTGCAATTTGTTACATTTCCCATAAGGAAGATCTAGAGTTTGCAATATTCTTGCGCAAAATTATCTATGGAGTGCTTGATAACAATATAAATGTGGTAACACTTAATAAACCCTGTAATAGGTTTGTTAGAAAAAATGTAGAGTGTATTTAAATTACAGTTTTACGTAAATTATTTTTGTGTTAAAATGATTTTATCAATAATTAAAAGTGACTTTTGCAATTTTTTTTAAACTTTTTGGTAGATAATGTTTAATTAACGTGAAAATCATGGTTTGGAGGGGACCATTTTGTAATTTTTGTTTGAGACTAAGTACTGGAAAGGTGAACCAGTTATTTTTAGTTTTGTGAATAATTATTTTTGTGTAGTACACACTGAAAGTTTAATATTGATAATTTTCCGTCTTAGAACAACACCATATAATTATATTTTCCACGTTATAATTTTTTTATTGAATATTTATTGCATTGTTTAGAAAATTAACCTTTTACTACGTTCTATTACAATTTTCGATAACGATTTTTCTATTGTTTTCCGATGGAAAATTTACGTACATGTAAGTTTATTACAGTTTTGCCAATATGTGGAGACCTGGTAAATACAAGTTTAATAAAAGCAATAAACTGGTGAACGAATTTTTGTTTTTACTTGATAAATGGTTACATTTTCTAGGTATTTAACCAATTTACTAAAATTATTGAAATAATTGTACCTTTTACTAAGTCCAGTAGTCATGGTTATTCTTCCAATTTAAACTACTTCTGTTTTTTAAGAACTTTACACAACTAAGAACAGAGTAATAACTACTTTAAAGATGCAAGTAATGTCTCGGACTTTTCAGTGACCTTCATCTATTTGACTTAAGTTAACACAGGAAGAATATATTTTATGCCGTACAACCGGCATTTCATGTGATTTATTTGTAATTTTATCACTAATCTGTGAATTACTATGTAACCAAAATTTGAATAAAATCACGCTTATAATAATCCACGAATTTCCTGCTTTGTCCAGTTACAATGCAAAAACGCATACCTGTCCGCATTAGTATTGTTCCTTTTTTCAAAAAAAGTTCAGATGTAGATCGCGACTGTTATAAGGTATTTTTTCATCGTTTACATTTTTTATCAATATTCTGATTTTCTTTTTTATCGCGTTTTAGTTTATTTATCATTGAAGTACCGAAGAGATTTTTTCCAATTTTTGGGCTTACTTTTCCTTCAGTTGACAACACGATAATGCGCCTTTATCAAAAATCGAAAATAATTTAAGTTCATTTATATGTTAAATAAGTGTATGACCACATTAACAATATAATCTGATATTATCTTTTTCACAATAAGTACTTGATTTTGATGGGATCTTTACAGTAGTGATTTTGATTTTCATTCTGCAGTGATGATTTTTTTCACATCATGAAGCGACGAGGCTTTCAGCATTATGTATATGTGAGTAGTTTTGTAAAAATATTTTGGATTTTTGCATTTCTTTGAGAAGATTAAAATAACTTCAATTTGTGTTTACAATTATTTCGCAAGTGATTTTATTCCGAAATTGGTTCACTTTTTCGAAGAAGGAAAAAATTGCTTTACTATTTGATTTATAAAGATTTCTGCAAAGTCATAGGAACAATAACATTATCTAAGTGTCCTTTATCAGCTGTTGTTTTTGTGAAATCTTCTCCTTATTGGAGGAATTCATTTTTCAAATAATCTCAGTCACTATTTTGCTGCAAATATTGAAAATTGTGATGAGATCTGTATTAAGACATCGATTTGACGTCAAAATACCAATTTTGAGTTTATTGTGTCAACAGAGTTTCCCTCATTTCTGTTGATAAATTTTTACAAATAACGAAACAAATTGAAATTTGTAATTTTTAACTGTCCTTAATCAGTAATTGGTATTGATAATAGGCTGTCCGAAGTCTCTATCTTAATAGAACATCTAGAAATGTGAAGTGTCAATAACGAATTAGTACTTTTTGTACTTTCAAAATGAGTCGTAATCATTTTTAATTAATCTTTAATTTTTGTATTGTTTCTTATTAATTTGGGTATACTTTTCTGTTTCTAAAAATGTTTTTAGATTTATTTTTTGATGTGCAAAACCACAAAATTGATTTTATTTTGTCGGTAAATGGTAAATGGTTTGTGATAAATAATTTTATAATTTATATTGTTTGTTCTTCTGTGATAATTCTAATTTATTACTCAAAAATACGCGTACTATCCATTTTAGTAATACAATTATTATAACGAGTGTACAGGAAGAATCAAAATATGTACTACTCGTATAACAACATCAAAAATGCCGTAATTGTGTATAACTGTATATTTGTATAATTTGATTCCCTCTGTTGAACTCTAAGAATAGTTTATTAAATATTATGTTAGTGCATAAAATTATTATTATTTTGTTGAATTCGGAATCTTGAATTTTGTTATCACTATGGTATTTTTTATTATTTTGTTTTTTAATATATTATAATCTTTCATCTCGTCGAGTAAATGTAATCATATGCATAAATCTTTAATAAGCACTTTTTAAGTTTGATTTTCTGGGCTTTGTGGGTAGCCTATTTGTTATTTTTATGACAGGTTTCATTATTTTGGTTCTAACTAAACCGTAACGAATTAATGTTATAAAATAAAGGATTGATTGTGTAATTTTAAAGAAATATTTTAGCTACAGGGGGCTACTTTAGGTTTTTTATTTTTTTAAGTATTTTAAATTCTATATTTCGGAAAAACTACTTTATTTTTTCTGTAATAAATTAGTAATAAAAAGTGACTGCAATTTTTTGTTATTAGTAATGTAAATGAGAAAATTATAATTTCTGCAATGTTAAAAATATTGAAAAAAACTCTTGTTTTGTGGAGTTTGGAAAAATATAGGCATAATGTTTTTTTTTCATGACTGTTTTTTCACTTTTTACGGTCTTGGACTTCTTACTTGTTCCAATATTTCGAACATTCCTTTTAGAGCAAAAAATGTTGATGTCTTTTTTGTTTTGTCACTGTACAAATATTACTTACATTTTCTGTTAGCCCCCTTCACAATGTCGGGCCCCTCGAATAGTGCCCCCAAACAGCGTCATAGTATCGCCGGTGCTCACCCAGCTGTCGAATCCTCTCGTCGACGTCCATCATTTCTAACTCTTCATATTCCGGAAACAAACTGGAGAGGTTCTTTAAGTCAATTGCATTTACCAACTTTCACCCTCACAACACCCGAAGGCGACCAAAGTAACAAAAAATTCAGCTTTGGACTTGGAATCAGGCGACATTCACATACCGTTAGTTAATGCATGATGTTCGATAAATTAACTCCGTTATAGCCCCCGAAATAACGCTTTGTTTTATGATCATTCTAAATTTACAAACACAATTCCGCTATAAAGATTAAGCCAAAAGACGGATTATTTTCGTACCGTGACTGAGGTGTATTAACAAAAGGTTTGTTGCTGCATTAATTTTGCTAATTGTGCGTTTTTTGACACTAATAAAACTACTTATAACAAGATGGAGGTACAATTAGTGAGAGATTTTTTGATTTGATTTGATTTTTTGTTTGACAGACGCTGCACCGCAGTGAGTCGATGGTGTCTTTGTGTTTCCGGACTCTGTCAGGATTCATCAACGACGACAACCTCCAAGGCCTCAAAAACCTCCTTGAGAACAAGCAAGTCCAGGTCGACGACCGCGACGAGAATGGCACTACGGCCCTTATGCTCGCCGCGACGAAGGGCCGTTCGGCCTTCGTCCGCGAACTCTTGGCCTATGGCGCCGACGCCAACGCCGAAGATTGCGACTCGTGGACGGCCCTTCTGTGTGCCTCCAAAGAAGGGCACGCGGATATCGTCCTACAACTCCTCGAACATAACGCCAACATTGAGCACCGAGACATGGGCAATTGGACGTCTCTGATGTGGGCCACGTACAAAGGGCGCACCGACGTGGTGAACCTCCTCCTCGAAAAGGGGGCTGAGGTGAATGCCCACGGGAATTACCACATCTCTTCGCTATTGTGGGCCGCAGGTCGGGGCTACACGGAGATCACCGCGGCTTTGATCAGTCACGGGGCCAAAGTGAATGTGGGGGATAAGTATGGGACGACGGCCTTGGTGTGGGCCTCGAGGAAGGGCTACACTGAGATAGTGGCAATGTTGTTGAGAGCGGGGGCGAATGTGGATACGGCCGGGATGTACTCGTGGACGGCTTTACTGATGGCGACTCAAGGGAATTTTGTCGATGTTGTGAACCTTCTCCTGGAGTATAAACCGAACGTTAATGCGTTAGATAAAGATGGATGCAGTGCACTCACGATCGCTTGTAAAGAAGGCAATAATGAGATTGTCACAGCTCTAATCGCCGCCGGGGCTTACATCAATATACAAGTTAGTTAATTTTTTATTTTTTAAACTGGGTTTGAGGTTGGTAATATCTGCAAAAAATTCAAATCTGGTTTAATTGAGAGGTAAAAGAAAGATATACAACGCGTTTACGGTGGTTAAACAAAAAATAGAACAAAAATTTGATTTAAAATAAAAGTATTGAGGATTTTGATTGATTGAGAAATAGAGTAATAAAGTATTACTAACCAAGTTAATGTACTTTATAAAAATGTTTTGGTTTTGCCAATTTAAATCTATAGTATATACAGGGTTAAAAAAGATTGTAAGAAGATAATAGTATCTCCGAAACCATTACTTTGCCAAAATAAACTTTTTGTTTATTTTGGCTTATATTATAACCTTCTTAAATAAATATTGTACAATCTTTTTTTTAACACCCTGTAGAGAATAGATTGCACCGAGGGACCGTTAACATTGTAAATTTTCGTAATTTCATCGAAATTGCATTTCTAAGTTACAGGAATTTTTCTAGAATTCCTGGAATTTTTTTGGAATTAGAATTAGTTGTATAAGTACATTTTTTTTAATTAACGGCCCCTTGGATTGCACTAAAAAAAATTTTTTCCAATGAATAAATATTTTTACAAATAAGCTTTCATTTTCTTTAAAATTACCACATTATGGTTTTTACGTGTTTCTTGAAGTTGAAATAAGTAAATTTTATGAAAATGTGGGGAGGGGGGAACGGGATATAGTTATGTTCCCTAGTTTATACATAAATCAAGAAATCAAAAAAAGGATTTTTCAATCAAGCTTACTCACAATGTTTTTTATATTAAAGCAAAACAACACTAACCAGTTAAAAAAAATATATTTTGCGTCTGAAAGAAACCTTATTTCGTATACCAATGCTTTAGTGAGCTATTTCACCACCGATTCGAGTGCTGAAATAGACTAGTACAATTTACTTTCTAGAGGTTGGCAATGGTGATTTTCAGTGGCGTTTTGAGCGACTTCTCTTTTTTCAGGTGGTATGCATCAAGTATTTGTAGTATTCATTGTTAATTCAACAAAATTGTGAAAAATACTTGAGACTTGACACTTCGGAACTCAAACTTTCATTTGACATTTATTACCAACCACAACCTTATTAGAGCAAACGTTACTAAATTTTGAAAAATTAACTTTGATGTACGTAAAACGCGCAAAATAGAAAAAATAGCACAAAAACTTGTTTTATAAGTAATTTGTGGAAACTTGTTCTTTATAAAACTCGCACTTTGCTGCTCGTTTCATAAACCTAAAGTCGTTCCACAAAACTTGCCTTACGAAACGCGTTCTTTATATACAATTTTTTGACTAATTCGGTGCTTTACAGGACCGTTTCGGCGATACCAACCTAATCCACGCCGTCAAAGGCGGCCATCGCTCCTGCGTCGAATCCCTGCTGAAAAAATACGCCGACGTGGACATCGCCGGCAAAGATCAAAAAACGGCAATTTACATGGCGGTCGAAAAAGGCAACATTGCTATCGTCAAACTCCTTTTAAGCGCAAATCCCGACCTCGAAATCGCAACCAAAGATGGCGACACTCCACTTTTGAAAGCTGTACGTTCTCGTAACGCCGAAATCGTTCAATTACTACTCGACAAAAAAGCAAAAGTCTCGGCTGCTGACAAAAAAGGCGATACGGCTTTACATATCGCGATGAGAGCGCGTTCGAAAGGAATTGTTGAAATTTTATTACGTAACCCGAAACATAGTCAACTGCTTTACCGGCCGAATCGGGCCGGGGAAACCCCATACAATATCGATATTAACCACCAGAAAACAATCCTCGGGCAGATTTTTGGTGCAAGTAAGTTGTGTAAAGAATTCCAAATTAGATTTCCAACACGAAATGATGTTTCAGGGCGGTTGAACACCAACGAAGACAATGAAAATATGTTAGGTTATGATTTGTATAGTAGCGCACTTGCTGATATTTTAAGTGAGCCTTCACTCTCGATGCCGATTACCGTAGGGCTTTATGCGAAATGGGGTAGTGGTAAATCGTTCCTTCTTAATAAATTGAGAGAAGAAATGAAGAATTTTGCACGAGAATGGGTGGACCCAGTGTTTCAATTTACAAGTCTCATGTTTCTGGTTTTGTTGCATTTTTCGCTGATTGTGGGCACTATAGTCGGACTTACGGTCCAAAACTGGATCATTGGGCTGTCAACAGCAGTGGCTTTTCTTTTAATTTCTTACATTTTCCTCGCTTTGGTCTGGTTTGCTAATAAAAGATACGACTGGGATTGGCCCTACAATTTCAACGTGAAACTGACCCGGAAATTGAATAACATCAAACTGATTTTGCAAGTTTTGTTTTGTAATCCACCAGGAGCGGTGCCCTATGATGGAGTTTCCGCCAATCCCATCAGGTGAGACACTTTTAAACAACTCTAAAGTTTGTTACAACTCGAGAAAACTTTCAGATTTTATTTCACTGACCAAACTCGAGTAAGTAGTACGGCCGGTGGTGAAAACTCAGTCGTCCAAATGATTGGATCTTTGTACGACGCTATAGAAAATGATTACGGGGCGTTAGCCACTCGACTATACCGAGCTTTTAAGCCAAAACCAGTGAAATCATCATCGACTTGGAAACTACGCAAAGTGTGTTGCGTCCCATATGTTGCCCTTTTTGAGATAATTTTTCTCTGTGTATTAGTCGGAACTTGTGCCTTGACTGTGTACTTAGTCCACGTCAATTCTGATGATAATAACTCACACGAAATGGTCCGTTTTACTCTTCAGATTGTTTTACTCACCGATGCACTTCTTTTGGGTGTCGCTGTAGTCGCAAATGTCTACACTTGGAGCAAATTATTTAAGTCTGTATTATTTTCGCAACGACGCCATCTGCAACGAACCATAGCCAGACTCGAGACGCTTAAGTCGGAGGGCTTTTTACAAGCTCTAAGACAAGAGGTAGTAATACACACTTGGATTTAACTTGTCGAAATAACAAATTTTGTTTAGGTGAATTTAATGAAAGATATGGTGAAATGTTTGGACAGTTTGAGTTCACAACAGACTCGTTTAGTTATAGTCGTCGATGGTTTGGATAGTTGTGAACAAGACAAAGTCTTGTTAATTTTAGACACCGTTCATATGTTATTCTCAGACGCCACTAGCCCGTTCATTGTGATATTAGCAATAGATCCTCATGTTATAGCAAAGGTAAGTAGCTTGAAATTTTGACATGATTTTGCGAAATTTCTTTTTAATGCTTTTGTTTATATTCAAACAGGTGGCTTGGGAACAGGTCAGTTTAAAAAATGGGTCCGGTCTTTGTTTTTTATTCTCACCTAACCTCTGTCAATGTCTAGTCGTGTTGTGCTTTAACCTTTCTCTACTTTTTAAAATAGTAAAATTGAGCTCTTATCTAAAATAAACTAAAACATTATAACATACAGAGTGAACAAAAAGTGTGGAATTAAGCGTTTTTTGATATCAAATGTGTACCTAATCATTTTTAAATAATAAAGTTTTTTTTGACACTTACAGACGTCACACGAGTAATAATGAGCCGAAAAATTTTTTTTAAGTAACCAAAAATATTTTTCAAGATCAAAGATAAAGTGAATATGAAAATATTTAGTTTTAATTAATGAAATATAGTGATTGTATTTTTATTTGAAAAAAACTTGGGGCCTGAAGTGTTTTTAGGCTTATTACTTATGGGAGCGTCTATACAGGTTGCGCCAGAACTCGCGCCCCAGAGAAAAAGAAAAAGGTAAGATACCAGGAACATGGAAAAAATGTTAAAAAAATTTTATCTATAAAAATTTCGAAGTTATGGGGGTTTAAAGTTTGCACTTTCACTCTATTTATTTCTGTTGGAAGAATAATTTTCCAAGTTTTTTTTGCTATAGGCTATTAAAAGAGGAAACAAGGAAGCTGTATCCTAAATTGTAACTCTGTTTAATGTTATTTGTAGCTTTTATTGGCAAAATTTTTGTCCCCCTACTAAATAATTACTAATTATATAATTACTAATTTAATTACTAATATTTTATTAGTATTAATTAGAGGTCATTTTGTATATTTTAATTTGAATCATACGTTTATTAGTTTCTTCAAAAAAGAAATAGTTTAAACACAAAACGCTTGCCCCAACACTTTTTGTTCACACTATAGACGACATTCTATTAAAAAAAATACAACACATTTTGCATTTTGAAACACCTTGAATAACAGTCTTAAATATTGTAGGCTTAAAATACATTTTGCAAAATGACGCCATTTTATAAAATAATAAAATTATATCATTTATGTCCCAGACTATGATTTTTTTAAATACATAAGAAGTAAAGAAAAGTACTACCTATACTAATAAGACACTCTTTATGTATGTATCTTTAAAATGTAGTTTAGAGAAGGCTTTATGACGCTACGAAAACAATGTTGTGGTAATAAGAGCCCAATTTTACTTTTTTTGTAAAAATATGTTATCATGTGGGTAATTCCAGGCTGTTGAAATGAACACAAGGCGATTGTTTAGCGAAAACAACATCGGCGGCCACAATTACTTAAGCAACATGGTGCACCTACCCTTTTACTTGCAAAATTCGGGGCTGCGTAAAGTCAAAGTGGCTCAGCAGACTGCGCAGGCGCATAGGAAGCAAACGGGTGCTTGGACCGAAAATGAGGAAAGTCTTAGTAATTTCTTGGCGCGTTCTGTATGTCGTTTTTTCATATTAAAAAAAAATAGAAATCAATATTGAATTTTAGTCGTCGAGTCGCCGATTATCAAGCGAGAGTGCCATAATGTCAAGTCAAGAGAAATTAAAACCGCCAGGTCGGAAAAATTCACGCAAACTTAAACTTTCCGAATCGGTTGCGAGTTCAATCGGGTCGAATTTGAACAAAATTGGAGGGGCACAAGACTTGACTAAGATGCTGCTCACTGATGATTATTTCAGTGATGTTAATCCAAGGTCGATGAGGAGGCTTATGAACGTTGTTTATATCACTGGAAGGTTGTTGAAAGCGTTTCAGATTGATTTTAATTGGTACAGGTTGGCGTCCTGGATTAATATAACCGAACAATGGCCCTTTAGGACGTCTTGGATTATTTATCATTATGAGTTGTATGAGGATGGTTTAGATGACAATACTTCACTTAAGTCAATTTTTGATAAGTAAGGATTTATCAATGTCGTGATTAGTGATAATTTATTCGTTGTAGAATTCGACCCCACATTCCAACTGTTAAAGACACCGAACCTCTCCTCGAGCTCGACAGAGACGAGAAGAAGTTTGATATTTTTCTTACTTTTCATCGCTCAAGCTTGTTGGTTAGTGATTTGAAAATATTTCTGCCGTTTACTATTAATCTAGACCCCTATTTAAAGAAAGTAATTAAAGGTATTTTAAGAAATTACATGAATGTATCGTGTTATTTTTTTGTAATTGTTTTAGAAGAAACTCAATCTTTGGATGATGATGGGTTATTGATGACAACCCCACGTAACTTATCTGTGCTTCCAACAATGTCATGGTCGAATCCAGCGAACCCAGAATGGGTGTCATCTCGACCAGGCCTAACCCGACGCAATCGCCCATCTTCCAAACCCACGATGTACCAACAACCAACGGGGCTTATTGGGTGGCCCTCCTATGAACCAGTGCAAGTTACCAACCCGCAAATGATACCACTAGCCCCAGTGACAACACTTGCTGTAAATCACTTCCGAGTAATTAATTCCAATTAATTAATAAACTAATTTTTTAGCCGGAGGTTTTTGAAAAACGGTTATCAACGCTAAGTGTGGATGGAGTGTGCAAATTGTTAGGTGTAATGGAAGATTTGGATTCGGCCGCAGTTCCTGATTATTGTAAAGTGATTAAACAGCACAATATTAGTGGAAAGGTTTTGCTTCATTGTGATTTAGATGAGTTGAAAAAGGTATAAAAATGGAGTTTTTGTAATTTTTTGTGAGAGTTTTTTTTCTTCCAGTTGTTGAATATGTCGTTTGGAGATTGGGAAATGTTCAAAGTGTTGTTAATTTCCTTGCGAGAGCATGAAGTCAGTAATGTTTTCAGGCACGACGAGACGACTAAGCGAGTACCTAAGCCCGAGCGTAAAAGTAAGTATTTGAATTTTGCTTTAAGTTTTTACAATTTTTGTTAAATACTCGTAATATCTGATAAATGACACAGAGGGCGTCTCAAGATAAAAAATAATACTAAATAAAGCTCGTATTCTAATATCTGAAAAAATCGCCATAGGTTTGGAATTAAATATTTAGGTTCATTATATTTTTATTTTTTTTATTAAAGAACTAAATTTTTCAATATTTATGTTTTTTAATTTTACAAAACTGATTGGACTTTTTCATTGCTTTGTAGCTTTGTAGTCAATTTATAGTCTATAATATGATATGAATATAATATGAATTATCAAACTCTAATGAGAATTGCAAATTTTTAGACTAAAAATTCATTATTTACAGCTAGCGTCACTAAAAACAGCCAGACTGAAAAAGACAGTAAGGAAATAAACCAACGAAAACAAAGCGTAATGGAAAAACAGGTAACTACTTTTTCTTTTATTTTTTCTTATAGTTTTTCCAGCGATAGATTGGACTTTTTAAATAAGATTATATAAAGTGTTCGGAAAAGAGTTGTAAGATTTGAGGGGGTGGTTTCCTAGGTCAAAATAACAAAAAAAGTTATGGACCCATGTCCGGCAATGCTTCCTACGGGAGTTAGAGCGATAATTCGCTCTTATATGAAAAAAATCACTGCGTTGGTTGCTTTTTGGAATTAAGGTTGATGCAAATCTCGTTTTTCTCAAAAACTGTGCGTTAATTAATAACACAAGAGACATTATTTGAAGAAAATTAGCCAGTAAAAAACTTCCTACGTAAAGTTTTACGACTTAAATAGATCTGACCCTAGTATCTCCGGCTCCCCTAATTAGGATCCACTATTTTTGATGTCACCAATAGGTTTAGCGGCAAAAAATTACTCCGGATGCAAAAACTTATATCCACCAGTTACTGAGATAATTGTAAAAGCGGAGGTTTTTTTTGCCCGCCTTTTACAGGAAGCTCCCTCAGGAAGCAGTTCCGGACATTGGTCTATAAGAACTTTTTTCTTATTTTGACCCAGGGAACCACCCCCAAAAATTTTTTAACGTATTTCCGGACACATGTATAAATAAAAATATTACAATAATAATTTACACGGATAACACAAGGCGACAAAAAAAAGTCATGTCGTGACAACTTGACAAATTTTATATCATTTTGTTGGTCTCAGTAAGACAAATCAAATGCACTAAAAAAAAATTCAAAAAGTCCACACACTTTAAACTAAATAATTTTTTTCTAATTTAAATGGATTTAAAATACTTTAACTTTAAAAAATCATTACTCAATAACTACTAGGCCGATTTCCTCATTCGAAAGTGATTAGAAAGCATTTGCCCAGAACATTTTCAAAAAAAGTTCAAAAAGCTAAAAGAAAGTGAACAAGTCGAAATCTGAATGGAAAGTGATTTCATTTGAAAAAGTTTTCCCCTTATATTTAAGACTCGTGCCTTAAACTTCTAGATCCTCTTTGCTTAATGCTCAGTGGTCATTTTTACAACAAAAAAACTCTTTATTTGCTTTAATTAGTACGCAGGTACTCTTTATTTGTTTTAAGTAAACAAACAGTTTTTGTTAATTGTAATTAGAACAAAGAAGATGCAGTTAACCATTTTTAAGCAAAAGAAGAGTTTTAAAACAAATACTTTTATAAAAATGCAATTTTAAGTATGATTAACATGCATTTCTCCCATATGGAGCAATGCTTGATTAGCAAACCATAACTTCAAAAAATCATATCTTGAAAATTACTCGGTATATTTGTTTGAAAATTTGGATTACAACTAATAAAGAGATGCTCTACAGATGGTAATGATGAAAAAAAAAATTCTCGTAGGGTTTTTCTTAGATTATTTCGATTTACTTCGAACTTCTTCGAAAACTGTTAAGTTAAAGTATTTTAAATTCATTTAAATTAGAAAAAAATTATTTTATCAAAGTGTGTGCATTTGATTTGTCTCACTGAGACGAAAAAAATGATATAAAATTTGTCAAGTTGTCACGACATGACTTTTTTTTTGTCGCCTTGCGTAAATGGAATGAGATAGTGTTTTCGCATAATTTCTTGACAAAAAAGTTTACAAGTGATTCAAACATATAATATACAAAATTTATTTTCTTTGACTATATTTTTGGTAATTTTTATGTTTCAAAAAGTCCAAGTTATCGCTGTAAAAATTATGTTACTAGATTTTTAATAAATGAAATTTTTGTGATTTGCTTTCGTGTTGTGTAGTACCAGGTGAGCTTAGCTTTTTTCGATTTTATATTTTATTTGATTGATAATGTTTATTTTAGGTGACTCTCGAAGAGCAGATGATTTGTGGTGCCCTCCAGACGTTGAACGAGGAAGCATGCGAAGACGTCCTTGAAGAAACCGAAGAGAAAGAAACAAAAATAACAATCGAACCCGACGTTCCCCAAACATCGGTGATTCCTCCTAGTCCCGACTCGAATCAAGGTGAATCTCACGTTGCACGTAAACGAAGCACAGAAAAAATAAAGAAAGTCAGTTATGACGAAAGCGTAATGAAGCACGATGGGGCACCACTTAAAAAGAAAACTAACAATGAGGCTTCCGCTAGTGGTGGGGGAATCAAACGAGATTAAAAATTACGCAAAGCAATAAATCAGCAGTATTATTTTAAGGGCCATATTACGTTTTATTATTAAGTTTTTCACCGATTTCTTCCAATTCTAGTCTTGGAAAATTATATATTTCTTTTATATGCAGTTATTGAATTCACGGTTGCATGTATGCTAACCTGTACCATCTTTTGTATCTACCTCTAGCACTATTTATTTATTTTGTAGATTGTGATTAATTACCACAATAAAGTATTTTATTACCGTGCATGTGTTTTGTTTCTTTTCGTGTGTTGTACATATTTGTTGTGAATTCAATAGCTGTGTATATTGCTGGTGGCGGTTGTGTCTAACTTTGCACTTGTAACACGGCTTGTGTGGCGTTAACACCGTGCTTAGTCGCTTCTTTTGTTTAGATTTTCCTCGAGGTTACCGTTCTCGTACGAACAGCTCGAGCGGCGTAGGTGAGACTGAGTTTGTTTTGTTACAATCCTCGCCAATAGGTCACATGCACTGGCAACCTATAAGTATTTCAATAGGAGGCAATTCGGAGAGCCTAAGCGAACACAGTTCGAGGTGTAGTTCGCAGCCACCTTCACCCGGTAAGCCCAAACCTTACTTACCTCACTCAAATGTCAAATACGTCACGTGACCGGCTGTATTTCTAGTTACAGAACGCCGGTTCTCAAACGGTATCAAACTCTCGAATTTAAAATCGAGCCACCATTGTGAAGACGCGCCGAAAAAGGGTCGTCACGTGGTCATCAAAACCGACTGTGGTGACCCCTCCCACATAAGCGTGGTTTTCAACCAATCAGACACCAAAACTCCCCTCCTCCAGGAGTTCAACGTGCGGCCAAACTCGCTCCAATTGGTCAAAAGTGACAAGTCACAAAAACCCGTCATGCGAAACCGATCCAAGTCTATAGACTGTCAAAAGAAGAAGAGTGATAAAAATTTCGAAAAGCTTCATCGTTTGAAAGAAAAGTTACTTCACTCGAGCCCCGAATTGAATGAAAATGCGAGCGATAATGAGAGCACTCCCCTCGTGTCTGAAGTATCAACGCCGTCAAAGTCGGGTCAAAGCTCCGAAATGAAATCCTCAAACTCGAATAGTTTTCCTCTGTCTCCCATCTCACAGAAAAGTCTGTCACCTGAAATTAAACATCGGCAGACGCGAAGTGAACAAAATTTAACAGATACGACTGATGTGAGCCCCGTTCTCTCATTCCATGACAATTACTTAAGTAATGTTGGTGGGAGTAGTAGTGGGGGGAATAGCTTGTCCCCTAAAGTCACACTAACGCGGACCATGTCCGAATGTACTTCAGTTTCAGGAATGATCAGCTCCTGCAGTAATATTAGTCTACGTAGTAAGAATTCACAAAGTTCTGGACATCTGTCACGGCAAAACGCTTTAGATTCCGAGGAAAATCTTGCCGATTGTTATTGTGATCCCAGTAGAGAAGGGTGAACACCTTTCTTTATTTTTAAACAGTATTTATTTCGAATAGAGCAATAGAGGTCTATTTATATTTTGTGATTGTTAATTAGACTTCCCCAATAAATCTGTTACATTTATTGTTTGTTTTCTAGTCTAAAATCTAGAACTATACATCAACTTGGCTACCAAATTAAGTAGAGCGCCCTCTGTTTAACAATACCAAGTCCTTTCTTTCTCTTGTCACAACTCTGGTTTGTATTTTGGCCGTACGTAGGGTGGAGGGTTGGGCCGGCAGTGCACTCCTCGGTTTATAGTCGACGTGGGGCTATTAGTGTGACTTCTTGACAGTAGAATAGGGTCAGGTGATAGGGTCATTTCGCGATTGTTTGACAAGCTTCGCAATGATTGGGTGGCGCGATGGATCGTCGCGTATTGGTTGAGTTCGTCGGGGGGCGTGTCTTCCATACGTTTCGATCTGTCAAAACACAATAGGTCATTGACACACATCTCACTTGCCAACTCGGGAAACAAATTAGTCAAACCACCCTTCACGCATGATTAAAGCCAAAACAGTTACCTGTAATAATCATCACAAATGTGAAACAAGTTATAGAAAAAAACTTCGCTCTCGGTGTCTTTTCTGTAATTCGTGTGATTTTTGTGTATTTTGAAACGTGAATGATGAAAAATACTTACATCCCCTCGTGATGGAAGCACAGAATTAGGGAAAGTACCAAAGCGAGGAAAATCATGACGAACATGGGTACCAAAATTGTGAATAAAAATTCATGAAGATAACTTCTTTGCGGCACCTCACTTTTCAAGACTGTCTCCCAGCGGTCCTCGTACGCGTTTTCGACTGAATTTAGCAGTTTTTCTTTGGCTACGCTTTGATGAAGCGCTGAGTTATTGTCATCGATCTGAAAAATTAATTTTGAAATGGTTTGCGACTTGGCTATTTTTGCATGATATGCGTACGAGTCTAAAGGAACACCAGTCCATGTGAAATCCCGAATTTCGAAACAGTCTTTCTACTTTAGTTCTTTTAAAATCGCGAGGGCATGGGTAAGACGCCTTCCACAGAGGTCTGACTTCCTCCTGAAGTTCTGTTAATTCAGGCGAAAATGGTGATTGGCTTCCTAATCTTAAAACAACTCTAAAAATTATTTTTTATTATTTACATGTGTTCAATTTTATTTGATTTAAATGTACCCTTCGCCCTCGGTGGGGTTCAAAGGTTTCCTTGCCCCTAATTTAATCGCAGACGAAAGAAAAGTGACATAGAGGTCATTTTCACTGTCTTTCCACAACACCTTCCTATAAATATCCTTCAAGCTGTCCATCCTTTCTACTTCAAACATATTATCAACGTTCAAATTATCAATTTTCATATGCACTTCATATTTCGCAGGATTTAATTTTTCTGAGACATGTATATTGATATGTTCATGTCTGGTTTCGTACGTTTTGCGATTCAAAGCAATGACTTCCAACTGAATATTTGCGTTGTTTTGGCTCGGGGGTACCCCAAATAAGTATCCACAGTGGTGTAGTGGACTGAAGACGTAGTTTATCCATGAGGGTAAATCAGGGGCGTTTAGGAGCGATGGTTGATAAACAAATTGATCAGCTTTGCCCTCGTATGTCCAGTTGAACATGGGGGGGTTTACAATGATTTCGAACACTTCGGTCATTAAAACATTTTCGTCTTTTGCTGAAATGGCACTTACAAATGTAAAAATTAAGGAAAATAGAAGCATTTTCGGAAGTGAATGAGAAATCAATAGTTGAGTGGATTTATTTTTAAATTTTGGTTAGTGGCGCCCTCTGTGGAAGTAAAGTGCGGGAAATTCTGTGATTTGAAGGAGCACTTTTTGTTAAATAATATAAAAATTAATTTAATAATTTGTTTGAAAATGCATTAACGCATTATTTATATGTATGCTTTCCCTCCGATTTACAATATTAAGAAGATTATAATTTGTATAGTTAGACTTTCTCAACTTTCGATACTGCCAATTGTTTATTTCGTTACTTCTAACATTCTATACTTCCGGATTCTTCTGCTTCTCCTGACGTTCACATAACCCTAAATTTTTTATCAGTTAACGAGCTAACCTCACTTTTTTACGCAAGATGTTACAAAGCGGAAGACGCATCGGGGCCTTTTGTGCGGCCGTACAAAATTTATCGTTAAATCGGATAAACCTTTTAGCTAGACACAATTTAAAATTTTCGCAACGGAGGTTTAAAAAAAGTGATAGTTCCATATCATCTCTGTTCATTCCGGTGCCTGTGAAACCAAATCCTGATGATATTAACGTGGGGGCCGAACTGACAGGAAAGTTAAATAAAGCTGATTTGCTCAAAGTCCTCAATAAGTTTTATCAGAAGAATGAAATTAAACAATTACTGACAGAAAATGGGCTTGATGGTAAGTAAATAAGTGGGTATACAAATTGCTAAAATAATTTTCATAGCTTATCTGCAACATCAAGCGTATGTTAGCTTTCGACGGTATTGTCTCGAGGCCCAGAACTTACCTGTGGATCTTCATGTTGTTGTCAGTGATATTTTACAAGGGGCTGGGAATGTTACAGACATTTTCCCGTATTTTTTACGCCATGCCAAACAAATGTTTCCACATTTAGAATGTATGGACGATTTGAAAAAAATCTCAGATCTTAGAACTCCAGCTAATTGGTACCCTGAAGCTAGAGCTTTAAACCGCAAAATTATATTCCATGCTGGCCCTACAAATTCTGGCAAAACATTTCACGCTTTAGAAAGTTTTATTACTGCAAAGTCGGGAGTGTATTGTGGCCCCCTTAAATTACTAGCGGCCGAAGTGTACAAAAAAAGTAATTCGAGAGTAGGTGTTTGTAATCTCTCTATATAAATAAATTCCAGTAAAAGATTTTAGGGCACACCATGTGATTTAGTAACAGGCGAAGAACGGAAATACGCTGACTCTTCAGGGAAGCCGTCATCTCACGTTTCCTGTACTGTTGAAATGGCTTCATTAACAGCACCATGTAATTTTTTGATTTGAATGTTTCCCTTTGGATGTAACTAACTTTTAGATGAGGTTGCGGTTATTGATGAAATCCAAATGGTCAGGGATCCTCAAAGGGGTTGGGCTTGGACTAGAGCCTTTTTAGGGCTAGTAGCTGAGGAGATACACCTGTGTGGTGAAGCTGGTGCTATTGACTTGCTAAGTCAACTGTGTTTAACCACAAATGAAGATATTGAAGTTAGGCATTATAAAAGACTGACAGATTTAAAAATAGAAGACACAGCTCTAGGTAAGTAAAGTGGCTTTGTTGATCAGTGGCGGCTTGTCGACGCAGGAAGACCACGTGTGTGTTTTAAAAATTGTCCCAGTTTCTAGTACACTACTCCAAAAAATTGAGGGAACAAAAATATTTACTAAATTTTTTGGTGGTTTTATAAAAGGCTGTATCTCATCGAAAAATGATCGTATTTAGATTTAAAAAAAAATTAAAGCTTTAAATTTTTAGTTTTGAGATCTTTTGGCAAAAAAATTTATGTGTTACGGTTATCACGTAATATTAAGAAATAACATGAGAAAACAGTTTGATGGATCGATTTAAAAATTTACAGGGCTATGGAGGTACATTAAGCTGTAAAAACTATTAAAAAAATAGAAACTTTAGTCTCCCCATCAATATTTGTGAATGCGAGGTAGATTTTTTTTAATCTATTCAACAAGCATAAAATGATGACTATTACTCTCAATGAAGGTTACAACACGAATGGAACACGAGTTTTGTAATAATATGAGTGAACATTATAAGGGAATAGAATATTAAACTTTGTCCACGACTATTTCATCTGATTGATTTTTGGCTAGATTTTTGATTTAAGTATTCTTATTTAAAAATACTATTTCGTTTACTGGAAGGTGAAGAAACACAATGCATATCGTTCGTTTGGAATTACAGTGTCGTATGTACATTTAGAACCACTTTGTTACTCCAACAATTTGCTTTTCCAGTATGTGTGGTAGATGCAACTTTGTAGTTTTTGTAGTTCCACGTTACTTTGCTGTTGTTAAAAAATGTTATCTCAAAATACATTTATTGCATCTTATCAAAAATAACTTTTTGAATTGTTGTGTAACGGTTTTTTTTTAATTTGCATCAAAGCTACTCACGAAGTTTGATTGTATTTAATCGTATTAAAAATTGTGGTTCGTTCACAACACATTTATATCACCGCCAGCTATGATGCCAAATTTAAATTTGTCTATTTCATGGCGAGCTGAGTTTTCTAAAGTTGAAATCTTCATAGTTATTGTTGCTATTTCTGCAATTTTATATAAAAAATAAGTGATAGCGTATGTCATAAGTGAATTTTTATTTTGAGGTACGCAAATCATTAAAGATCAGTCATTATGGAATTCAACTGGCGGACACGGAATTTTGGACGATTTGTCAGTCAACTGACATAAAAATGTAAAACGGGCATTAGGCAGCTAACCTCACCTTCGGTTTTTGTAATTTTTATCCTAAGAGTGAAAGAAAAAATGACAACAAATCAAAATAATTTATTAATCTTATATAAAAACACGTATTGTTGGAGTTATTGTTTCGGAAAATCGACGCCAAAAATAAAGTAACACTTTCAAATTTTAGTTTCAAACGTCAATCATAATGACAATAAAGCGTGGGTTACATTGACATTTTTTGAACTGTCATAAATATGATGTCCAAAATCCCGTGACCGCCAGTGTACGACAGTGTAATTCTAATAATTTTTATGTTTACAACATACAACTTTGTTTTTCATCTTTTTTTCAGCTAACTAAGATGAGATACTTAAAAAAAAATTTTTTTGGATTTATCTGATGTTAAAAAAGTAGGATACCTGAATTTCGCAAATTATTTAAAAATTGTTCATTTGACATTGTAATTTTAAACGAACAATATGTTTGCAAAAGTTTTGGTTATTACGCAGTAGAAATAAATTACTTAAGAGTTTGTTGTATTGATCAATTTTTAAAATAGAATTATCCAATTCTAAGTTCAAATTTTTTTTTCAGGCAGTTTAGAAAACGTTATGCCGGGCGACTGCATCGTCTGCTTCAGCAAAAACGACATTTACTCAGTCTCACGCGGCATCGAAGCCATCGGTAAAGAAGTCGCCGTGATATATGGGGGACTTCCCCCCGGGACCAAACTTGCCCAAGCCGCGAAATTCAACGATCCTGAAAACAGTTGCAAAATTTTGGTTGCCACTGACGCAATCGGAATGGGTCTCAACTTGTAATTATTTTCTTTCGGCATTTTGTTTTTAAATAAATTTGTGCCCCTTTCAGGAGTATTCGACGCGTTATTTTCTACTCACTTATCAAACCGACGATGAACGAGAAAGGCGAGAAAGAAATGGACACGATTTCAGTTTCTGCTGCTTTGCAAATTGCAGGAAGGGCTGGCAGGTATGGGACACAGTGGGAGCAGGGTTTCGTGACCACTTTCAAACCTGAAGACTTGAAAACGTTAAAAACGTTACTGGAGTCGCCCCCTGAACCTATAACCCAAGCCGGCCTTCACCCTACAGCCGAACAAATCGAACTCTACGCTTATCACTTACCCAACTCAACCCTCAGTAACTTGATGGACATTTTCGTCAGTTTATCAACAGTTGATGATTCGTTATATTTCATGTGTAATGTGGAAGACTTCAAATTTTTAGCCGATATGATTCAACACGTCCCGCTGCCTTTGCGGGCCCGTTATGTCTTTTGTTGCGCCCCCATAAGCAAGAAAATGCCTTTCGTGTGTACAATGTTTCTGAAGTTCACACGCCAATATAGCAAAAACGAAGCGATCACTTTCGACTGGCTTTGTCGCAACATAGGATGGCCTTTGCAACCCCCGAAGACAATAATCGACTTAGTGCACCTTGAGGCTGTTTTCGATGTCTTGGATTTGTATCTGTGGCTAAGTTACCGTTTTATGGATTTGTTTAACGAACCCGATTTGGTGCGAGATATGCAGAAAGAGTTGGATGTGATTATTCAGCAAGGGGTGGTGCAGTTGACTCGGTTGTTGCGAAACTCGGAAACGGGGGTGAGTTCGGGGGCGCGAGTGGCCGATGAGGACGAGTTTGCGTTAAGTAGGCAAAAACAGTCTTATTTGAGAGGTATTTATTGAGTTGTTACAAATAGGTTTGTCTACATTTTTTTTTACAGAACCCAAGTCTTTGATTGGGAGAGGTAGGTTGACGGAGAGGTTACTAGCGCAAGGGATTTTGACACCGCATATGTTGCATGAGTTGAAGAAGGAGTGGAAGGGTGGGGATAATAATGATGATGATGATGATAACGATAATGAGCCGAAAAAGACTAGAAGGAAACGAAAAAAATAGGGAATGTCAATATTAACAAAATCTATTTTTACAAACATCTATTTAACTAGAGACAAAATTGTACATTGATTTGTGCTTAATTACGTTCGGAACATTCACTTTGAACGGGTTGTTATTAAGCCACTTTTACAATAAAATATAAAAATATATACAAAAACATGGTTTATTTTTTCAATTATTTACAGGGAACAGCTAAGCGATGAATCTACAAATGTAAAAAACTCAATATCGACTATGTACAAAAATATTAATAATATCTTAGGTTACATTTAAATTTGTACTAAATCTTCATAATTATAACGTGAAGAGGGATTTAAACATAATTCATTAACTAAATAGGTATTTAATTTTCTAAAAGGTTTGCTTTGTGCAAATAATGAAATTTTTTGCTTAATTTTTTGTTCCAACAACCAATTCCTTTTCAACAAAGCTAACTACAATAGGTTTTTTGCCCAATTTTTTGTTCACGAGTCATTTTTGCTCAATTTTTTTGTGCCCACAGGCAGTTTTTTGCTCAATTTTTAGTGCCCGCAGGCGATTTTTGTTCAATTTTTTGTGACCTTGGGTGATTTTTTTGTTACAATATTTTTTAATATTTTTTTATTTTGTGCTCAATGTTAAAGAGTGCTTTTATCAACTAATTTCAGTAGATAAAGTAGTCTTTTATCGTCTAGTGAGATAAAGTAATTTTTATCTACTGTTTATATTTTATCAACTAATTTCAGTAGATAAAGTGTTTTTCTTTATCGTCTAGTGAAATAAAGTAATTTTTATCTACTGGTTATATTCAAGAAATTCTGGTAGATGAGTACAAAATAAAACGAAATATTATACACGTCGATAAAGATTGTTTATCTACTCGTGAAAAAAGTCCACTCGTGACTTCGTCACTCGTAAACTTAACCTTTTCACTCGTAGATAAACAATTTCTTTATCGTCTTGTATAATAAATAACTATGAAAGTACAACCTAAACTCCTGATACTATTGTAACAAGGACCACAAGTGGTTTTCTGTTTAATCTTTTGTGCCTTCAGGCAATATTTTGCTGAAGTTTTTGGCCCGGATTGATTTTCTGATCAATTTTTGTGACGTGTGATTTTTTATTCCATGTTTATACTAAAGTTTTTGTTAAAAATTTTTGACATAACAATTTTTAACAAGTACTACAAGCGTTTTTTTTTGCTCAATTTTATTGGCCGATTTTTGTTCCGACGAGAGATTTTTTCATGACAATTTGGGATCTGTCTTTCTAATGATAATTATTCGCTTGCATTCCAATTATTGACTGCATATAACTTCAAATTTTGGTTCACTTGGCAAACGGCACTTTGGTGCTTTATTTTATCCTAGGTAACTGTATTTTGTGTTTTAATAAATCATATATTTTTACCGTCGATCTATTGACAAACACGATTTCTTTCCGATGAAAGATAAATATTTACTACCGCCAAGGATGTAAAGATTATCACATTTTCACTACTTCCTAAGCTACTAACTTCATATGTCTATTTTGTTAAAGTACACATTGAAGGAATGCAATATCCTAGAGGAAACATTTTAGTTGTACCTCATAAAATTTTATGAAGATTCAGGTTATGGAAGTGAGATCTGACTCCTCCAATAAATAATTTACGGTTATACTGGAAGTAAGTAAAGGATTAATTGTCCTTTGCAGGAAAATTAAATAGAATGTCCACATACTATTTTCAAAATTAGTTACAAAAAAAAATTCTACATTCTGTCTTCACAAGAGGTTGAATACTTTGGAGGTATGTATACCCGGGGAAAAAACTATTCACCAGTCTAACTTTGTACTCGGGCTGCGCTTTGTCGCAATAGCGTTTCAGACTAACTAGTTGGAGAGCAGGTAATATGTCGAAAAACCCTTATTTAGGAAGTTGATCAGGACCCGAAAACTGTCTTTTTGTGAAAATTATTTCAATGAGCATAGATTATAACGTAAACATTAAATTGTGATTATAAAAAACAAGCTTGCTCAAATTATCAAATTACAAATACATAAATTTATTTAAGAAATGCATTTTGCAAGTATACAGTATGTTCCCGGATTGAGTTTACAAGAGGAAAAAATTTTTTACCTCAGTGGAAATAAAGTTTTTTTTTTCTTACTTTTGGACTTGTAATAATAATTTTTCTTTGCTCTTCAAGTTCCATCACATTGGCGATTTTATTTTTTTGACAACGATATCAGGATGTCAATTTGTCAATTAATAAATTAATTGAATAATGATTGTTTTTGTTAAAAAAGCTGTTTTTTTGACCTACCATTTATTAAAATTATGTTGTTTTACAAACATTTTTGTATTTAACTTGCGTTAACTCATCTATCAAAGCAACATTATTGTAAAAAAAAAAAACGCCAATGTGATTGGAGAAAAAATTACACTGATTTACACGATTTTTATACCTTAGCTGAAAGTTATAATTTCTTATAAATTTTGCGGCACTGAGTTCAAAAAAAATATTTAAAAAAGTCCAGTTTAAGAAATATTTAATTAACAAAAATACGAAAACCGCTAAAGAACAAATGAGTTATTTTACTTTATTTATTATACTTTTTTGGATCAGTTTTCTTCATAACAATCCAACAGTAATCTTGGGGATTTCTTCCCAAAAATCTTGGTGTCGATCTTCGAAAACCCTTCAGATCTTGATGAAAACTCTCGTTCTGTTCATGACTCATGCTCTCCAAATGCGACTCAATAAAATGTTTTTAAGACTTATTTAGACCCATATGGTAATAATTTTGAATTTAACAACAATTTGAATTTAAGTAAATTTTAAATCGGATGCATTTGTGCAGAAAGCAGGAAAATTATCATCTGTAATAAAAAACTGTGAAATGATAGAACAATTTAACAATGATTTTTGTTTACTTAAAGGTAAGTTAACATAAAAATAATAATTCGATTAAAAGTATATTAAACATGTTATTATTTGTAGACTATAGTGTTATTGCAAGTTCAAAATCAAGAGAAAAATGAAATTTTCTTTCCACTGGGTGAAAATAATGAACTTTTAATTACAGAGTTACTAGTTTCAGGTGAAGCAAAAAATGTTTTTCTTTTGCAGGATTGGCGTAAAATTAAAAAATCCGTGGACATACTGTATAATATTAGTTATTATTATTATGGCATTAAATTTACCACTTTGGGTTCTTTGCTTTGTTTAGAAGTAATAAAAATAAATATAAAATTCAAAATAAACTAGCTATTTGTTAATAAAATTAAAAGTAAATCACAAAAATTTTGTTAAGGTAATGAATTACATGGGCGTGCATTTTTTTCTCTACAATTTGCTTAATGTCATTTTGCAAATTCTTATAAACACCATTTAATTATCTATACTCATTGAGGAAATTTTCAGAATAAGACAGTTTTGAAGAAACGTGTATCCTCGAGTCCGGACCAACTTCCTAAATAAGGGTCTTTAGACTTATTACCAGCTCCCCAACTAGTTAGTCGGAAACACTATTGCAACAAAGCGCAGTGTGAGCAGAAAGTTAGACTGGTGAATAGTTTTTTCCCAACAAATTTGTTTTAAAGGTTTCATAATTGAAGGAAAATCACAAAGGAAAGCCTAGATTACAACCTTATTTTTATCACTTGTAAAAAATTTAACGTTTTTGCTTTTCCCCAAAAATTTTGTCAAAAACCAACACCTACAAGCGTTCAATTAGGATTATTAAGTACCGTAAATGGGGTTACTTTGACTTCTCGGGTTACTTTGACATGTTATGGGGCTATTAATTTTGTTTCACTCTCAGATTAGGTACCTACCGAAATTATGTTTATTTCATTTTAAGCCATATAAAAGCCATAACATACCAAAGAATGACTTAATTAATTTTTTTTTAAGAAAATATATATTTTATATTTTGTGTTTAATGAGTTTAATAAAGTTAATTTACATTATATATAACATATTTTTAGTTCTAAGGTGTCAAAGTACCCCCCAGGCTAGCATAACTTTGATTGTCAAAGTAACCTGATTTACGGTAATTATACAGGCTAAGTCATACAAGGTATATCATTTACAATAAAGATCCTAACCGCTTTTCAGACGCAACCCAAAATACATCCTCAGATAAACTCTTTGAAATTTTTCAAAGAGATAAATAAATATCTAACTTTGACAGTTTTTATAAATTGGCGTCCTACGGTGTACAGAGTGCTGCATTTTGGATGTCCGAACAGGGAATCTCCGAAACTAAGAGGTTTAGCCAAAAACGAGTAATATTCTGGGGCTCATTTTTTGAGAAAATAATATTGGTTAAAACCGCATCCCGCTATCGTCTTTTGTTTTCGACTTACATTATTATAGAAGATACGAATTTGAAATAAAGACTTTATACAGGCACTTTTTTACGAGGAATTTAATAATGTAGTTAACAATTTTTTTCAGTTATTAGTTTAGCCGTAAAAGATAAACTTGTATTTTTTTAAATGGAAATCATAGGCGGCTATGGCAATTTTGAAAAGTTTATTTTTTTCTGATCTAAAAAATATATATTTGTAACAAAATATTTTTTTATAACTCTACTTAAAAAGTGAAATACATATTTTGTGTGATAATAGTTTGCCATGGAAAAACTATTTCACTCCAAATGTGTAAATAATAATCAATAAGAGTTTTGTGAACTGTAAAATAGATGAAAATATAGATAAAATTACAAAAATTAAAAAAAATACGATACAGTAGAAGCATTGAACAAATATCCGAGCGCCTCAAAACAAAATTATTACATATTTTTTAAAAATCAAAAAATAGGAAAAACAAATGTGTCAACACAATTACAAAAAACATTTTTTTGATGATCTAATGGAGGTAGGATAACGTTTCACATAGACGGAATTTGGGTATTTGAATAGTCATATCGTCATTTTTGTGTCATATAAAATATATTTTATTGAAGAATTAAAGCGGTTTTTTTACAACACTCTATGTATCACTAGAAGTTACAATGGTCATGTTAGCTTGTTTAAAAACAAAGAAATGTTATTAGTCGCCAATAAGTTGATTTACAATTTATTTTGCATCTTTTTCATCACTTAGTACTTAGAAAACTCTTTCATTAGTGACACTGGTTGAATATAATATAGTTTAAATTCTTTTAGTTGAAGATGCAATTTTTTTCATGGCCAACTGCGAACAAAAATCAAAGATACTTTATTGCTAAAAATGTATAGTAATAATTTGTTACAAATATATATTTTTTAGATAAGAAAAAAACAAGCTTTTTAAAAATGACATCTATGATTCCCATTTAAAAAAATACAAGTTTATTTTATTACGGCTAAACAAACAACTGAAAAAAAAGGTTAACTACATTATTAAATTCTACGTAAAAAAGTGCCTGTATAATGTCTTTATTTCAAATCTGTGTCTTCTATAATAACGTAAATATGAATTTTTTTAGATTTCGCTAAAATTTCAATTTTTGTCTATAAGTCGAAAACAAAAGATGATAGCGGGATGCGGTTTTAACCAATATTATTTTCTCAAAAAATGAGCCCCAGAACGTATTACAACCTCTTGGTTTCGGAGATTCCCTATTCGGACATCCAAAATGCAGCACCCTGTACATATGACGGTACAGATTTTTTGTGCCTTTTTCCATATATCAAACACATGTTTTTTTGTCGTTTTAGTACAGTTTGAATTTAAGGGGAAAAAAGTGGAATTGGGTGTCATGAATGGGTTGCGTCTGAAAATAGGTTAGGGTCTTTATTATAAATGACTCATCCTGTATATTTAACATAATTATCACCAAGAAATTGTCTCTTTGGCTGTCGAAATTTTGGTACACCTGTACCCTGTACCTGTACACGTATCTAATATTTACAAAATCAAATAACATTTTCCCATTTTAAATATCTGTTTAGATTAGATTAGATTTAAATGAAATTTCCTCAACATTTATTGAAAACAAACTATTTTTCCACAATGTAACATGATTCCATATTCCATCTTCGCATATTTTACTTATTTTAAAAATGAATGAATGAAATTTTCTCAACATTTATAGAAAACAAACTATTTTTCCACAATGTAACATGATTCTACATTCCATCTTCACATATTTTACTTATTTTAAAAATTCAAATCAACATTGTGTCAAACTTAGACGTGCTTTCCATAAGTCATAGCTCACCAGTCTGTTCTATATTTTCTTTGTTTTATACATCGAACAATGTGAGCATATAAATGTTACGAATAAACCCCATCCGACATCCTTATTATTTTTATTATAAGGTTTTTATTACTTCCTTTCAGATGAACTCACACGGGTCAGAAAGAATAATAAAAAATTTGACATCGATTACGCCATACAATGTAGTTGCAATCTCAATTTTAGGCATGACCGATCCAATTAAAAACATTTCTCGTTGCCGTTTTGTCGCAAATAAATTAAATACTTGATGATAGAGACAGAAACTGGATTGAAATCTGCTACGAATTTACCAATTATTTCACAATGAGTGGTTTTGTACAATTAATTGATTGTGGTATTAAGTTTTTACCAATCCCTCTTCACCTTATTTGTAAAAAAAACTGTGTGAACGGGCCAATTGCCCCAACACGCGAATATTCGCTCGCTTATTCGCCCGTCGTGCGCGTTGCCTCAACGAATAAATTACAATATTACAATATAAATAACAACTATAAAATACTGTGACTAGAATCGAACATGTTCTTCCCCCGCCCTCACTTGTGTTGAAAGGCAAAGTCGGCCCTTCGTGTCTTTGAAAAATGCTTAACAGTCAATCTCCAGAAGGCTATCCTAAAATCCGGACTATAAAACGCGTAAATAAACGGATTTATGGCGGAATTGAACCATCCCAACCACGTCAAATACGACATGATCAATGAATTGACTTGATTGCTGGGAATGAACGGCGTCAATAAATAAAAAATGAAAAAGGGTAGCCAACAGGCGATGAATCCTCCCATGACGATGCTGAGGGTCTGTGCTGTCTTTGTTTCTCTTCGGAAGGAGGAGACGCGCGTCGCCGGCTCGAAGTTCAAAACCGACGCGTCGAAATTGAGGGATTCGGGCCGGGAGCGTTGCGGCGTGAACGACGGCGGCCGGTAGAGGCTGGCGGAGCGCTGGGCTGTCAGAGGTTCATGATTGAAGGAATAATTCAACGGCGAGCGGAGAGAACGACTGCCGAGAGATTTACGTTGCTCGTGGTTGAGAGGTTCCGCGGACTGGCCGCTGGAAAAATGGACAAGGGTGATAATTGGGAAGAGATAATAAGAGCGAAAGTCATGCCATGCTTAAAATTTAATTTTTGTTTCTTTCTTAACCGTTTGCCGTTTTTATTATTTTTAAGGAATCTAGAAAAAACAGGCTCATAATAAACATATTTTGCCTATTTTGCTGACCAAATAATTAAACATTTTGTAATTTTTAATATAGAAAATAAAACTTAAATATTTTACGTAAACTTATTGAACTTTTGTAGCCGCGTTTGCTGTCCCTAAAGTTCAACCTCTCACCCTTTCGGACAAAATTACTACGACAAAATTTAAAAGTTATAAAATTTTAAAGTACCTAAGGACGTCCTTCTTAGACTGGGTAACTGTTAATTTAAAAAAAATCAACTTAGTTATTTAAGCTTATTGAAAATTCGTTTTTGTTTATTTGAGAACTCCTTTCTGGTAGTCATTTTTTTAAGGCGTAAGTTCTGGGATATTAAATATCGTTAAAAAGCTTGTAAGAAGTTCAGTGATAATGGCACCAAGTGCAGCTAACTATGTCTAAAATATTGTCAATTTAAAAAAATATTTAGCGCTTAAAATCGTTGAAAAACTAAAATTTTACAAGAGTAAACTACCCTTCCCGGAAGGGTGAGAGGTGAAGTGGTGGTGGCAGCAAATGTGGCTAACAGTCCTTAAGCTATATGTAAAAAAAATATTGTCAATTAAAAAAATATTTCGTGTTTAAAATCGTTGAAAAATTAAAATTTTGTAAGAGTAAAGTACTCTTCCCGGAAGGGTGAGAGGTTGAGTGTTGGTGGCAGCAAGTGCGGCTAACAGTTCTTCTGAATCTTCCACTCCTACCGAATTTTCATACTAACCTTGTTAAAGAATACAGGGTGAGTCACATGACTCACATATACACATTATACATACATGGGTGTCAATTTTAAAACTTGCAATCGCCAATATCTCTAGAACTAAAAAAGTTATTGAGAATCACTCAAAACCGTGTCGGTGGTTTTTAGGGGGAATCAAAATGGCATAGTAAGTGACGCTTCTCCACCCACCCTTCAAGCCACAGCCACCTTAAGTTGAAAATTTGAAATGGCACGACCCTACTTGCGATATATCGTTGGAAAGCCCATAACAAGCGCTTTTCAAAAATGTCATACAACAGCCTATTTGGTAAAGTTATTTTTCCAATTATTCAAAAACGAAGATGTTAATTTTATTTTTTTTACTATATTTAAGGGTGGGTGGAGGTGTGTCACTTATCATGTCATTTTAATCCCCCCTTGGAACCACCAAACCGGTTTTGAGTGATTATTAATAACTTTTTCAGTTGAGAGAAATTGGAGATTGCAAGTTTTAAAATTGACACAGTGTATAATATGTATAATAAAGACGCTAACCGACTTTCAGACGCAACCCAAAATACATTCTCAGATACCACTATGCGTTAATTGATGTTCTGTTTGAAAATTTTCAAAGATATAAACACAGATACAGTTGGAGACAAAATATTTGGTCGTCACTTTTCTGATAGTTTAATGTAATTCAAGTTTTAACGTTAAAATGAATCACAATTTCAAATTAATTAATATATTTAATTATTATATTTTCCTATCAAAAATTCAGTGAGATCAAAAAGTCTGTCTATCAAGCAAGCGTAGAAATTTAAAACGTATGTCTGTGGAAGATAAAATGTCACAATGACAAACGAGAAATGTCAAAATAATTTTTATGTAAATTATGACAGGAAACCGTGGTGAACGATTTTTATGAATCTTATTTTAGTTTGTTTTGAGACGTTTCCTAGAATAATTCAATTTAATTAACTCAACGTTTTAATTTTTATAAAATAATTTTTTGACATCTAGATAACATACGAACTGCCATGCAACATACGTCCTCAACTAGGACGCCTACTTGATAGAAAGACTTTTTGATCGCACTGTATGTACAACTTGTCAACTATGGTTGACAGTAGCTAAAAATAAGGTTAACAGTCCTAAAGCATGCTTTACAATTTAATGTCACTCATTTGTCATAATCATATCAATTTTTTCGTCGTATGAGTAGTACATTTTGAACTCAAGGGGAAAAAAGCGGAATTGATGACACTGTCAAATTTAACTAATGACATATCAATAATTACTTTGATTTGAATTTAATAAACTAAATTTTTCAAACGTACAAAAAGCAAAGTTGACTGTGAGAACGTATTTTGGGTTGCGTTTAAAAGTCGGTCAGGGTCTTGATTACAAGTAATAGCCTGTATACAGGCTGTTCCGTTTTTATTGTTACAAATTTAAACAGGTGATAGGATATTCAATTTTAAGACAAAAGTTTCCTATAAACATGTATCGAAAAATGCTTGGTAACAGAGCTACACCCTCTGGAAGGGGATTAATATGTTTTTGCTAATATTTCAGAAACCATTTACGATAAAATTATAAAATTTGGTACAGATGATAACCTTTATACACCTAAACGAATTCAAACATCAAATGTCGAATTTTTTAATCAGGGGCGTACGAAACTGGGGGAGTTTAAGGTAAAAAAATACCCTATTTATTTTGACTTTAGTTTCTCGGTACTTTCAGCAACAAAATCTTAAGTTCGATAGTTTATCACAGAAAAGTCTCTCTTGTGTCGATACGACTTATTGTTTTTGAATAAAATTGATTTAAAATTTATGTTACACACCAATAGAACATTCAAATAATTCAGAATTTACAGAATAAAAAAAGCAAGAAATTCATATTTTTTAATCAACCTCAACTAATTAACATTACATGACAGTAACAATAATAACATTAATTAAATGAATTTGCCTAAATCTAAAGGAGTTGTTCAAAGTGACGACCATTTTGCTCATTGCATAACTAAAGAAACTAAAGCCAAAATAAATAGGTATTTTTTTACCCTAAACCCCACCAGTTTCGGACGCCCCTGATTACAAATTTTGACATTTGATGTTTGAACTCGTTTAGGTGTATAAAAGTTATTATATGTGCCAAATTTTGTAATTTTATCTTAAATGGTTTCTGAAATATTAGCAAAAACCTATTAGCCCCCTTTCAGGGGTGTAGCTCCCTTACCAAGCATTTTTCGATACATGTTTATAGGAAACTTTTGTCTTAGAATTGAATATCCTATCACCTGTTTAAATTTGTAACAATAAAACCGGAACACCCTGTACATTCTACAATAATGTGTGAAGTTGAATTTCACACATCGAAATCAATACGCGAAGTTAGCCATTTTTTATTAAGAAATTTTGGTGAAAAACTAGTAGCGTAGAATTGTCATAAATTTTGTTTGCTTCTTGATTTTGTCCCTAGAAAATTTTGTTAAAAGTCTGTACCTAGTTATGTTGTAATATTGTTGGAGTTGCGCGACTTTCCGGATCCCCTGTATGTAAACCGTTTTTATAAATTTTTTTCTAAGACATTTTCTTCCTTTGAGGTGCTTAAATACAATTGAACATCTTTGTTTTCCTATATTTTTTAAAAAATATTAAATTATTAAAAATGGTACTTATTTTAGTGCCTTCTAATATTTTAAATTTACAAAAATCACAAACAAAATAATGGAAAAAGATAAAAACCTTCGTTTGTTTTTTATCTTTCATCGCATGACTTTTGAACTGTTTTGATTTCACTACCCACTTTTAAACGTAGAACTTAAAATAACTGAAATTAAAAAAAAACATTTACCATGCATCACTTATCTGACGAAAATACCTGGGACATCGCAAGTTTTGATCTTCACATTCAGAGGAAACTCGATCAACGTCAGACTCCTCTTTAACGCTGATGACGAGTTTTTGGCTTTTCTGTAAAAAAAAGGAAATAACAGCATTTACTCCCACTATCACGATACTAAATCTAAAATTGTGATTAAATTTTCAAGCGAGTTGCGGACTTTATATCGAATATTAATGGAGTTAACATTATTTCATTGACCCAATCCTGGCCACTGTGGAAGCATCATAAAAGACATTTCTGCGGTAATATCATCAGGCCATGATACGCATTTCGATAACGATTTGTTCCCAAACCATGTTAACCACATCATACGTTTGAGATTTTGCTAAATACATTTTACTGAAAACAGTTTCAGGTTTTAGGGCAAAATGGGATGAGATAAAGTGCCAGGTCATTGACACCGCTACCAACCGAAGAAAACGAGTGCTTAAACCATTGTTTTAACATTCCAAAAATGACAAACAAGAACAGCAATTGTTATGAAAGCACAAATAATTATTACGTCCATTACCCACCCACAGCCGATATTAAAAATAGTGTCTAATAAAAAATCTAATAAATCTTCCTCCGATGACGCATATGTCAGGTAGACTAATCCTCGCACTTTATCACCGCTAACTATTATAAAAATATCGCTCATTGTCCCATTTTACTTACCCTCGAATGGGTGTCGATATGTGCGAGTTGGTCGTGTCTCTGCGCCACCACACACGATATCCTCACGTAAACGTATAACATGACCATCATGGGTATAAAAAATGAACCCATCGCTGAAAAAATCACATAACCCGTATTCTTATTGTATCTGCAGTTCTTCTCTTCGTGCCTTCCTGGCTCGTACCTGCAAAACAAAAACTATAATTGGATGCTCAATTAATTAGGTCTTTTCAGACGGAACAATAAGCAGGCGCTGTTGAAATGCTTTTAGGGGATTAGGCGTTATAAAATCGCCGCTTTGCTATTGTTTTGATACTAAAGTGGTTCGGTCTTTACTTATTATTGGAATTTATGAGGTTATAAAAATACGTAGGGGAGGGAATGACACTTTTACCTTTTATTTTCTTTGGTGGGATGCGGTTGTAATAGAGGATTTTTTTATTGTTGAAAGGGTGAGTAAAAACACCATTAAAGAGGGTGTTTAGATTTACAAAATGAGGTGAAAATAAACGAAATGGGCAGTAGGCGCTGGCTTTTGTGTTACCCCGTTATCTACTCTCAACAGATATATAACATTTCATGTAAAAAGGAATGAGAAACAAAAAAAATTAAAACATAGAGTATAATTAATATTTCGTTATAAAATATAATGTGTAAGCAGGAGTTTTTTTTTATAATTTTTTAACCCAAAGAAATATCAGTTATTATACAGAGTGTCCCACGTAAGACTTTCGAGTCTAATATTTCTGTTATCTGCCAACGAATTTTTAGGAAATTTAAAATGTAGAAAGTGGAGATACAATTAAAATTAAGCGAAACGACTATCACATTGTTAAGCACTAAAAATAGAAATACGTTGATTATGTTGTTAAAATTTTGACCTAATTTTTGAAAGAATTTTATCAAAAATAACTCTAAAACAATAGTTTAACGTCTCCAAGTACCATTTTGTTCAAGCACCTAATGGTGATACCTTCGAGTATTTTTTGTTGTATTCAACTAGTTAGTCCAATAAATGCAGTTCCTAAATTATGTTATTAACTTTTTGAAGTTAGAGAAACAATAAACGTCATATATCAATGTTATTGTCGCCCAACAGCCAGGGGTGACTAAAATTCGGTAATATCGTTCTTGTTTTTACAACAGCCCATGATTTTGCAACTTCAGCTACTTTTAATACAGATTTATCCTTTTTTCTGGTAAGCGGGACATCTTTCAAGAACAGATTTTTGCTTATAGCATTTTTATTGGCGATTAACATTTTGTTCTAAATTTTAAGTAATTCAGCATTTTTAAAAGGCATGTTAAAATCACATTTTAAGCGCTAAGGTTGTTTTAGTAATGTGATATTAATCTCTCTCTATCTACTAAGAACTTTATATTTTAAATTTCGTTAAAATCCGTTGGCAAAGTCTTAGGTGAAACACCCTATAGTATATTCAAAAAAGAAGTGAAAAAGTGAATACTCAACAGAAAACAAAACAATTAGGGCCACCTTGTTTTGGCTCTCGCCATTCGAATTTTAAGAAACCAAAATTAAGATAATCAGCATCAATAAATTTGTTGTGAACATTTGTGTTCATACATTATTTCGTAAATAAAAATTTATACGTCCGAAAGCTTTAAACCTATTTCAACAATACATTATGAATAAAATAAAAAAATTAAAACAAAATATAGTGGAATTAAAAAACAAAAGTATTTCTTACCCTCCCAAAGAAACCGGAAATTGACTTTTTGGCATATCATAAGGTGCAAACAAATTTCGAATCTTAGGAGCATTGATTTCATATTAAGTAGGCGGTAATCGAACCAGTAACCGAAGTGACTATTTTAATTTTTAATTATTCACACAAAAATTTGAAATTTTCAAAATTTTCAAAACATCGGTTACAAAATTTGGAGTAAAATAATTATAATGTATTAAAAGTACAGAGTGTTGCATTTTGCATTTAAAAAACCCTGTATATACAGGGTGTTTCACATAATTTTACGAGGCCTGTGCCTGTAAAATGCAATCAATAATACATATCCCGATACGAACTCGATTACAAATTTTGAAAAATTGGATAATCTTCTCTAGTTTGTCCACCCTTTCAAAAATTACAACATTTTTAGTTAGTTAATGATTAAAATAGATAAAGTAGAATCATATTCATGCCGTCTCTTGATAGAACAAATAATAATTGTTTCTGAAAAACTGCAGTTTATGACTATTAATGAAACAGTGATTAGTTTGACAACTGCTGTCATGGGTTTCCAAAAACTAAATAATTAAATGTGTATTTTTTGTATCCAGTGTTTTGTGACTTTATAGTATATTTTCGTGCCTACATTAGGCGCAGGCCTTGTAAACTTGTGTGAAACATCCTGTATGAGTATATCAATATTAGAAGCTTATATTGAGTTAATTTACTTTGAAAAACTGAAAGTAAAAAAGGTGTTATATTAAACGAATCACAGTGAAGAACTATCACTCGCTCTGTTTTAAATATTCAATGCTTTTTTGGCTTTATTATTAATGTATTGGTATTGATTCGGCTCACAGCCTTTGCTTATTGTATTATAAACAGCGTGACAGTGATATACCTAATTTCATTATTTTGATATTTGTCTGATTTTCTAATTTATACGAGATGTGCTTTTGCCATGACATTGACACATGTAACCTCATTCTGGCATTTTGAGTAGGTAATTTAATTTTGTTTTTAAATCATGTCCTTGCATTCATTACATTAGTTTGTAGGCAAAAAATTATAAGATGAGCTACAGAAGGAGAAAATATACAAACTCATATCAAGAGTGTTGAAATTCACAAACGTATGTCTTGGATAGTATCATCAATATTTGTCAGTTATCTGCCAATAGAATCAATTTTTGAACACTTGTTTTGTGTTAAATATGGATTAAAACCAATTTTATTTAGAACACACTGAAAATCATTAAAGTTACAATTTATGGAAGGCATACGTTCATGAAATTATTATAACACTTTCAGTAGGTATACGATCTTTTATAAACGCCTTGTTTAATTTTTTGTAAAAGAAAATTGTGGAAGGAGTAATTTGTATTGTTTACTTTAGTTCTACAAATACTTGTTTAAAACAATACAACTTGTACGATTTTTAAATTTTATTAATTAAGTACAGGGTGTTTTATAAAAACACAAAAAGGAAAAATGCCAAGTAAGATAAGATACCAGAAACATTAAAAAAATGTTTAACATTTATTTTTTGACATTTGACATTTTTTTTATGTATGTTGTTGCCGATAGCCTTGTATAAAAGTTATTTCTTTTTGAATTGCTGGTGGGTGTAGTGTGAATCAAGAACACGACATGACATTTGACACGACATTTGACAGCTTCTGAAGTTTTGGTACTAAAGTCAAAAATTAAAACTTCTCCCTGGCGTTAGGATTTTTATAGGGCTTGAATTACAGTTGTTACGATGATATCGAGCGATCAAGATAATTTGTAATCGAGTCATTCTTGGATCCGAAAACGTATGTCTGTAAAATGTCAAGTAAAATGACAAGTTGAAAGGTAAATTGACATGATCAAAAAGGTGATGATTATAATAACAAAATTTATAATTTATTTTCAAAAAAGAACAATCCTACTCATATTATTATACGTCGGCGACTAATTACAGCCCATTTCGCCGTTTTACCTTACGGCGGCGTGTCATCTTATTTGACGTTTCCCGTGAAGTTAAACATACGTTCTCGGATGCAAAGATGACTCGATTACAAATTATCTTGATCGCTCGATATAAAGGCTCTAAATATTATCCTCAAAATAGTTTTCCCAATTAAAAATGAAATTACAAATATCCTACATGACGGTAAAACACACTTTTGACGTACGTAACTAGCTCTGCGTTACTTTAATCACATTTGTTAAAGTGAGATAAATAGCTATGCAAATACGTAGCGAGAGAGGAACAAGGCTGTTTACAAACGTTGAAAAGAGATAGCTGTCTGGTACGTCTTTCGAATTATTAATTGATCCACACGGATATAATTTAAATACGACCTTTAGGTATGTTTTTTATAATTATTCGGTAAAAGTACAAAAACTTTGCCAATAAAAGCCACAAAAACCTTAAACATTGTTACAATTCAATACAGCTTCTTTGTTTTCTCTTTGAACAGTCTGTAGCAAAGGGACATGTAAAATTATTTTTCTAACAGAAATAAATAGGGTCAAAGTACAAAATCTAAACCTTCATAATTTTAAAATTCTTACAAATAATTTTTTTTAACATTTTTTACATGTTCCTTGTACTTTATTACTGGTCATTTTTCTTTTTTTGTTTTTATAAAACACCCTCTATGCGAGATTTTAATGGCATATTTTCGTTACTAATTAGGAAGTAAACAATTTTTTGTAATTACACGTTCTATTAAAAGAGCTTAACTAACCCTTCTCACATAAATTGTTAAACTACTGTATTATCATTTAGATCTGGTAGTTTACAGGGTTAGTTTCTTGCCAATATCCAAATTATTAAGCCCTAAGGCAGACCTCACAGTTTTTATAAAGATATGGCTATCTCATGTCATTAAAATAAGTTATAAAGGAAATGTTGATACTGATTAATGATGTTAATGTGCATCATACATCACCTTAAATAAAAGTATTTGCTACGTTCGTTTCATTTAAACTGTTTCAATGAAAGGTAATATTCGCGTGTTAAATACGACGTGGTTGAAATGTTGATTAAAAATTATTACAAACGGAACTAAAAATAGAACAATGTAACTAATATCATGAAATGGGTTCGGTGGAAGTAAGTTTTCTAAAAATAACTGATAGATATGTTACCACAAAAATCTGCAAGTTGTTTTTAAAGTACACAGTTACGTACGTACTTAAAATAATCGATATTAAAATTGTATGTATAGAAACTTAGAAACCCACTTATTTTCGCAAATTAAATCCTTCTAAATCACAAATCAAATAATAATAATAATATTATTATAATATATTTCAAGTAACTACACATAGTAAAAGAACCCTGTGTATAGAGACCACGTCAACAGATACATTAAAATGACAATTGAAGTAGTACTTAAAATCTACAAATTATGGAAAAATTTCTTGAAAATTATATATTGTATTTCCCAGTAGTAACTTTTTTTTTTCCTTAAATACAACATTTGCCGAACATTTGATTTCCT